TAACGAAGATTAGAGTTAGTGATAATAAAGCTTATTTAGATCAAGATTATGCATTACCCGATTTAGAAATTATGATCATCAAATATTACTTAAGTATTTGACTATCAAATATTTATTTGATTCTGCCAAGTACTAAACGCAGATTTATGTGTCTTATTTGGATTAATTCTTTATGAATATTATGCAATATAAAAAGATTATTTGACAATATAATTTTGTTTATTTAACTAATTAACATATTGTTTATAGTAAATACAAAGCCAAACCTAATTTTAGCTATTCTAAGTATAATCTTAAAACTTTAAACTTTTCTCTTTCTGTATAATTTAATATATTTTGGCCCTGGTTTTAAGCTAAATAGCAAGCTCTAAGTTTTTCAAGATATACTATTAATTTATTTTGGGCTATATATTGACAAAGTGAATCTATTAATAGAAGTGATAATATTCACAAACTATTAACTACTTACTATTATCAAAATAATTAACTATCAAAAGAATTTAGTAAGATTGTTTCTGAAGTAGCTGCTAAGTAAAACAATATATCAGGATTTGTTTTATTACCTACATCCACAAAACATAATACTGAGTCTGAAATTTCCACTATAGCTATAATAGTTGAATCTACTGATTCTATAAAAGATAATAATATTCATAATAGTAAAAAAGAAACTATAAACAACGAAGTATCTACTTCTAATAACAATAATATAGTACCAACCTCAAATTAATATGACAAGTTTTTCACCAATATTCTTTTAGATTAAGACTACTTAGAAAATATGTTTGGCTAAAAAACTTCTAATTGCCAAGAATAAATTTTAATAGATATGCAAAATACAAATAGAGATGATGATAATCAAATATCCTAGCTAATTCTTCCTAATTGATCTGATTAAGCGGCTAAGAAATGAAGAATATCTAGGAATAATAATAGGCCAGATAATAACCAACCAAATGATAATAACCAACATGAAGGGAAAAATCAATTTTTAGCAGAAGATACTATAAATGCTATTATTAAAGGTCTTAAAAAAATAGTTAAAAACAATGCAGAACAAGCTACTATAGCTACTCAACTCAAGGAATATAAATTAGTAGATTTTCTTATCTTTTCTAGTAATCATAATGATGATTCTGTTAAGTGATATGAAGTATTTAATAGAGTATATATTAGCAATCAAATTTCAGAAAATCGATAAGTTGCTATAGTATCTAACTTCTTAAGAGAAACTGCACTATTTTAGTATAACCAGATATATTATATATTTAATCACTAGAATAGTATAGCCAACTCTAATACCTTTTTTTGTTACCTTTTTCAAGCTAAATTCTGGAATCCTTTTAAAGTATTTTAGTAGTATTATACTCTTATAAGCAGAAAGCAAAAATCTGAAGAAATAGTTGATATATATAATTCTGCTTAGGATAAATTATAGTGCAAAATAAACTCTAATAGCACTTACTTTAAGGTTGATAAAATAAGACAGTTTATTGATAGTCTTTGTTAAGAGTTTCAGATACCCATACAGTCTAAAAGTCCTACTACTTTAGCTAATACAATAAAAAAAACTAAAGCTATAGAAGTTGCATACTCTAAAGGAGATGCTCTTTCTGCTTACTCTTTACTTTCTATCTTATTCCAACTATAATTCTTTAGAGGATATACTTCTCCAGTATAAATCACTGCTTTGACACAACAGCAAGATAGTGAAAATGCTAAAATATTAGAAGCAATTAATTATTTAAACAGAACAATGGAACAAAATAAATCTCAGAATCAACAATTTCAATCTTGTAACCAAAATAACAATAACTACAGTAATAACAATTATAATAACAACAACAATTATAGATTAACTAACAATAATAATTGTCAAAGATATGAGAAAACTAAACACTATGTATCAAATTGTACTGCTCTATATTGTACTAGTTGTTAACAAATTGGATATGGTACTTATCATTGCTATACAAATCAAAATTGGAAAGTAAACAACAATAACAATAACCACAATAACAATAACCACAATAACAATAACCACAATAACAATAACTAGAGTAATAATCGCAATAATAACAATAACAACAATAATTACAATAATAATAATTAAAATAATAATAATAAAAACAATCACCAAAATAACAATAACAATAACAATAACAATAATAACAACAATAATCCTTCTCCAAATAACAATAATAATAATAATAACAACAATAACAACAATAATAATAATCAATGTTAATATTTAAACTAGAATTGGTATCTCTTGAAGGTAAGCATATCACTAATACAAATCCCTTACTCAATAAAGAGGTAGACCTTATTAATCTGTTTGATAAAATTGACAATAAACTTAACTTAGAAGAAAGTAATTATAATAATATTAATAAACAATTAAATCTCTAGTTGGATTGTAAAGACACTATAGAGATACTTGGGTTAAACTCAGATGAAGTTAATTTTAATATAGATAATAATATTTAAATAGATGATATAAAAGTTGCATTATTTATAATAGCTAAAGTGTTGAGAGTGTCTATCAATGTTCTGGTTGATACAGAATCTAAAGAATGTGTAGTTGTTAAACACTTCTTAGATTGAATTCATTGTAATATTAATAAGCCTAGCAATATAAGAGTTGTGAATATCACTAGTAACAAATTTACTCCTCTTGGCTAAGTTAAAAATGTGTTTGTCTTACTAGGTACTAAACTTATATATGTAGATATATTGATCATGAATCAAAAGAATACAATGTAGTTTTTGATAATAAATACTTAGATAAAGCTCAGGTTACTATTGATTATTATGGTAAATTTATGAGTATTGGAATTA